CAGAGTTATTCAGGATCTTCTTCATTCAGCTTTGGTAATTCATATGTATCTAGAAATGTGTCTATTTCCTCTGTATTTTCCATCTTATGAGAGTAAAAATTTTCCAAGTAGGCATTGATGATCTTCTGAATTTCTACAGGATCTGTAGCGATTTCATCCCTTTCATTCCTTATTGAATGTATTTCAGTTTTTTCTGTCCTTTTTTAAAAATAAGGTTGGCTAGAGGTTTATCCATTTTTTTTTTCCAAAGGACAAACTCTTTGATTCATTAATTCTTTGTATTTTGTTTTTAGTCTCCCTTGCATTAATTTCTGCCCTGAACTTTATAATTTCCTGCCTTCTTTGGGCTTTGGGCTTGACTTGCTCTTCTTTTTCTGGAAGCTTGAGGTACAGCATAAGACTCTTTATTTGTGCTCATTCTGTTTTCTTAAGTGGGAATTCACCACTATAAATTTCCCTCTGAGGACTTCTTTCACTGCATCCCACAGGTTCCTGTGAGTTGTATCTAGATTTTCATTTGATTGTGCATAGTATTTAATTTCCTCTTTGATTTCATCTGTGTCCCATGGATTGTTCAGGAGGGTATTATTTAATTTCCATGTGTTTATCAAATTCTTGTGATTTTTTTTTGTCATTAATTTCCAATTTGACTGCACTGTGGCCTGATAGTATGCATGAGATAATTTCAACTCCTTTGCATTTCCTTAAGCATATTCTACGTGCTAGCAGATGGTCTGTTTTTGAGAATGTCCCATGAGCAGCTGAAAGGAATGTGTATTCAGGGGCTGGGGATTTAGCTCAGCAGCACAGTGCCTGCCTGGCTAGCGCAAGGTCATGATTTCGATTCCCGGTACCAGAAAAACAAACAAACAAACAAACAAAAAAAAAACAAAACAAAAGAATGTGTATTCTGATGCTGTTGGGTGGAACACTCTTTAAATATCTACTAAGTCAATTTGTTCACAGGTTTGGTTTAGTTCTGTTATTTCCTTGCTGCTTTTTGTCTTGATCTATGTCTTTATGACAGTGGTGTGTTAACGTCCCCTGTTATGATTGTGTTGCTGCTTATTTCACTTTTCATGTCTGTTAAAATTTATCTTATATAGTTAGGTGTTCCTGCATTTGGTGCATCGATATTTATGATTGTTATCTCTTCCTCTTGACATTTTCCCCTCACAGGTGTGTAGTGATCTTCATCTCTTTCAGTTTTTCTTGGTTTGAAGTTCTCATTGTCTGCTAACAGAATAGGTACAACTGCTTTTTTCTGTGTTCCTGTTGCATATAGTATTGTTTTCCATCCTTTTGATTTTCAGTCTATGAATTTCCTTTTGAGTTAAATGTGTTTCTTGTTTACAGAATATTGTTGGATTTTGTTTGTTGATCTACTCTGCCAGTCTACTTCTTTTGGTTGGTGAATTGAGATCGTGTACCTTAATGGTTATAACTGAAATGTATTGGCTTATCTTTCTCATATTATTTTCCTTCTGTTGGTTCCTCTTTTTTCTCTCTGTTTAATTGCTTGCTCTGCTTGATGGGTCTTTTCTGTTGTTGTTCTTGAAGTTGTGGTCTTTTTTGTCTCTTTCTAGAATATCTTTAAGTGCTCTTTGTAGGGTTGGTGTGGTGCTCATGAAATTCTTCAGTTGTTCTTTATCTTGGAAATATTTTATTCCTTCATTAATTTTGAAGGATAGTTTTGCAGCATACATCAATCTGCATTGGAAGTAGCTTTCTTTCAGGACCTGAAATAGTTCATGCCAAGCTCTTCTTGACTTAATTGTTTGTGTTGAGAAATCTGCCGTGATTCTGATGGGCTTTCCTTTACATAGGTGATGTGTTTCTTTTCTCTAACAGCTTTTAATATTCTGTTTTTTGTTGAATTTCTGGGATCTTGATCAGTATATGTTTGGGTATAGATTTATTTCATTTATGGATCATTGGAGTTCTATATGCCTCACTTACCTGGATGTCCAATTCTTTTCCATGCTTGGGAAATTTTATGCTACTGCTTCTTCAAATAGTCTTTTTATGTCATTTGTGCTGACTCCTGCTGTATCATTGAAACCTATTAATCTTACATTGGTTTTCTGTGCTTCACTTTGCATCTCTTGAATTGTTATTTCTTGGTTTGTTGTTATTTTTAAGAGATCCTGCCTTTCGTGGTCATTCACAGCAATGCTGTCTTCAGGGTCTGAAAGTGTATCTTCAGCTTTGAGAAAGCAGTTTTGCCTGCTTTTAATGAAAGTTTTAATTTCCTGGGTATCTTTTTGAATGTGTTTCATGCATTCCAGTTCTTTCATATATTGTTCATTCAAGGTTTCCATTAATTTATTATGCTCCTCTATTTTCTTTTCTATGTCTTCCTTAGATGAGCTAAGCACTTCTGTCATTATTGTTGTCATTTCATTTTTTTAACCTGAGAGATTATTTCTGATATGATGTCTTCCATGGCCTGATGGAGTTGTTTCTTTACTTCAGCTGCTATCATTTCAGAAATTTCAGGGGTATGACTTCCAAGCTCTTCTGTGTCAGTATCTCCTAGACTTGTTCTGGATGGGTAAGAGGTCTGTGATTGCATTTCACTCCTTTGTTTTGTCATTTTCAGAGATCCAGAGGTTCCCTCGAGTTCAGCCTCAGTCCCAGGATGATGTTGGAGTAGTAGGGAAGGACTCAAATATTCCTCGTGCTCAGTGTGATGCCCTTGATGGTGTGTGCAGGGGGAGTGTGATCTCTAGTGCTCTCAGAACTCTATGGGGCTCAGCTTGGCTCCCACTCATGGGTCCCAAACCTGTCCGGGTTTCAGCCTTGTTTCCACTGTGGTGTAGTAGTGGGCAGATCGTGGTCACCGAGGCTCCAGACCTTGCCCTGGACCTAGCCTGGTTCTCACATCAGTTGGGGGGTGTAAGCACCCAGTCACTGAGTCCCCTGAACCTGTCTGAGTTATAGCTTACCTCCCCTGGGGGTGCAGGTGGGCACAGGGAGTGGCACATAAGGCCATTGAGGTTGTCTGGGGCTCTGCCTGACTCCCAAGCTGGTGGCAGAGGTAGGCTAGGCTCACCAGAGTTTCCAAAACTGTCCAAGTTTCAGCTCAGCTCTAATGGGTGGTGGAGGAGGAGGGATGGAGGGTGCAACCAGGCCCCTAAAGCTGTCGGGGGCTCTGCCTGGCTCCCAAGCTCATGGGAGAGGGTCGGCAGTGGCTCACTGGTGTTCCTGAAGCTCCATATGATTTTTATAAATGTAAAACTTACAGTAGGAAATTAGAATTGTGACCGATGTTACTGTAAAGCAGCGTCTATAGATTATAGTTTGTGGGTACCTCCTGTTTTGAAAATATAATTTTATTAGAACACAGCTACAGCCATTCATTTATGTACTGCATTTGTGTGATAGGCAAAGTAGAGAAGTTGAGATGTAGGCTTTATGGCCTGAAAGATGTAAATTGTTTTGATATGGCCCTTGCAAAACAGTTAGCAAACTTTGTCTATAAATATTAAGCCCTTACTTTTGGTAAAAAATAAGAAAATCTTAAATTACAATGTATGAACAACATTTTATTCCTAGCTCAAATATAATTTTTATTCTCTTTAAGAAATGTCAGCTGTTTAACTTGGACTTTTGTATATGGGGATTGAACCCAGGGCCATCACACTGAGCTATATCCTCAGCCTTTCTTTTTCACTTTATTTTGGAGAGAGTTGTCCAGGCATGGCTTAAACTTTGATCCTCCTGCCTTAGCATGTCAGAATGCTGGAGTTACAACCATGTGCCACTACACCTGACTATCTTTTAACAATTGTAATAATGACTACATACATTAAGTAATAATAAGATAAACTTTTATTAGTGAAAAATGTCAAACACATTTGATAGTTGACAAACATCGAAGGATACTAAACATGAGAGTTATTAATTACAAAAAGACTAGCTTAAACTTTCATATTACAAATGCATATTCAGTAGTTTTCTAACACATCCATCAGCCTTTAGAGTCTGTCTTTTTTTTTTTTTTTGAGACAGGGTCTTGCTATGCAGTTCAGGCTGGCCTTGAGCTCACTTTGTAGCCCAGGCTGGTCTCAAACTCACAATGATCCTCCTGCTTCAGCCTCCCGAGTGCTGGGATTATAGGCATGTGTAACTATGCCTGGCGAGTCTGTCTTTGAACTGTACATTGCTATACATACACAAGGCATAATTTTCATGTTTCCTTTGTTATCACTTATCTGAAGTTTAAAAGTGCCACATTAATGTTACAGTTTAGTTGAATTGAGCAAGAAGGGAATGCCTCCTTCAGCCCATATGTGTATGACTCTACTCCTTGTGCTAATGGTTTCTTCCTTCTCTTTGTACAGTTTACTTGGAGAGTGTAAATCTCTAAAAAGGTGGTTTGCTTTACCTTAGATCCATCAATGAGGACTACTCATTGCCATTGTAGAGATTCCCGCTGGTTGATTGGGCAGCCTTGATGAAAGAAACTAGGATCTGTGTACCTGACGTTGGAATGCATCATACTCTTGGTCAAACTGATGTTCCATCTGCCAAATTTTACCTAAGGTTTGTTCCGTGTCCATCTGTTTACTGGGAGTCATTTGCCTTTTTTTTTTTTTTTAAGACATGGTCTCACTATGCAGTTCAGGGCGACCTTCATCTCACTTTGTAGTCCAGGCTGGTTTTGAACTCTCAATGATCCTCCTGTCTCAGTCTGCTGAGTGCTGGGATTACAGGAGTGCACCACCACACTTTCCTGGGTGGGAGTCATTTGGATTAATAAACTACTAAGTGAGGCCAGTGATTCCTCCAATATTGGCAGAGAGATAAAATGCATCCTTGGTACAAAATTTACACTCTTTTAAGGAAGATGAATATGATTTCCACTTTTGTACTTCATGTTGTCGCAGGCTTTAGGGGCTTATGATAGAAGACTTATTTCCCACCACCTGAAGTGACACTTCTTCCAACATCTATAATTGCTTTAGATATGTGTTAAATCATATGGAGTGACAAGACTGTGCTTTATTCTTTAGGTCTTTAGGGCATGACACATATATCACCCGAATTTTCCATGCCTGCTCTGAGATTCTGTATCTCATTTTGAAGTTGTCTGCTTTCATTTGAGAATCCTTCTCTTAGTAGTTTGGCTTGTTCCTAAAAAAGACAAGTGGAACATGAGTAAACCATGCCTTTGAGTAAATCTCTGCATTTGAGGTAGCTTTCATATTCATTTTTATTTTTTTGCATTTTATTTCTTAGTGAAGTTTTTGTGCCCTTAATTTTTATTATACCTATTTTTTGGGGTGGCTGAATTCTATGTTGCTTCTCTTTGGCGCCCTTTTTCTATGAAACATATTCAGTTATATTTTCTAATATATTGATGTGCTTAAATTACCAATCTTGATTTTCCCTCATTAATTTGAAATAATCTTAGTGGGAATGTCAATCATACTTTTGGGTTCTGTTCTTATCAGTGCATGATGTACTTTTATGCATCGACCTCCAAACATATTATTATGTATAAATGTAGTGGAGACATTGAAATGGAACTTTAAAATTAGGCTGTGAAAGCTATTTCTCCAGATTCTTATGCAGAGAGTGAAAAACTGCACCCACACTCCAGGGGCCAAGAAGGTTTGAACAGATTAGACTTCATCATTTTTTGTGGGCTCACTAGTGGTCCACAGCCTGACTGAACATGCATATTTCCTTCTTTTCATTCTATCTTTCCATAAGTCAAGGCAATTCTGTCTGATGATGGAGGGTGGACTAGCTGCCCTCCCCATTTGGTCTAACTGGGCATAAATTCATCTTTTCATTTGCATTCACCTCCCTGGATTCTCAATGGAAAGCAGGTGAATGAATCCAGATAGTTGAAGCCTAGATTCTAGAAGAAGTTCTACAAGTCATATTTTGTGAGTGTTTTTAGCAGGTGTGATTAAAAAGCACAGTGAACACTTGTGCCAAGTTCCATCCAATAGAAAGGCAGGATTATAAAAGGTTATGCTGTGTCCTCATCCAGTTTTTTTCCCCAAATCTGGTGCTGTGTGACTTCTGGCTCTTCTCCAAAGTCAAAATGCCCATGAAAGGTAAATATTTTGAATCCATTTAGGATTCCCAGGGAGCCATAACAGTAGCAGTAAAGACACTCATGAAAGGAGATTTCCAGAACTTTCTCTGAAAGTGCCAAGAATGATGGGGTAAATGAGAGTTAGTGAGAATATTTTAAGGATGAATAGCAATTTTTTTCACTGTAATATATTTTTAAAATTTAAGCATTCACCATAATTTTGATCACATCTTATAAAAGTTATTTAATGTTTCTGAACTTGTGTTTGTTCTCCTAAAAGTGATAAAATTATTGCACCTTGTGGTCCTACAGAAGAGATATGGCTAAAACATTTTTATGATGCTTAGCAGATAACAGCCGTGATTGACAGAATGATGGATGGTGAGAGAACCGCAAGTAGAAAAAAGTAATGATCAGGCAGACAGCTGACAGGTCAGGCATGGAGACAGGAATTAATATGTATGTTAGCAGCAAGGTCCTTTGGGAGCTTCATGTTCTACTTACCAAACTGAATTTTTGTTATCAGTGAGAAAAGGGAGAAAATGAAAAAAAGAAAAATGGAGAGCTGAGGGTGGGAAAGTTGAATACCTGGAGTTTAAGAGCTAGAACCCTCTGTTGCTCTTCCATGAGCTGGGTCCTCTCTTCCCACTTCTCAATCAGCTGGTTGATATGCTCCTGATAACTCTGATCTTTCTGTTCCAGCAACTCATGATTCCTCTTTTGCATTTCTTCTAACATTTTTGTGGCAGCCTCTGCAACTTCAGCTTTCATATGCTCCACTGAAGAGAACAAGAGAAATGTCAGTGGGCTACCATGTTGGCTCCTCTTCATATGCTTACTTATTGCTGACTGCACAAGGTCTATTCAGAGATGACGTCAGAAGGTAAGAGCATCTTTGCTCTACTAATTCTAGATGAAGCATATCAGATTTACTTTGTCAAAGTACTTATACTTTAAAGAGCTTTTGAAGTCGTGTAGTCCCTTGACTCACTCCTTGCCTTCAATCTCTTTTTCTTTGTCTGTGAGAGTCTGGTCTGTGTGTAGAACGGCATGAGTCATATCCTCCTTGGATTGCAAATATTTCTCATTGAGCATAAAAATAAATAATTATCATAATGTCAGTATGATAAATAATTATCATAATGTCATACCAATCAGTTTTGTGTATGCTAAGCCCTGTCAGTTTGGATGATAACTAAAACTTAGTTGGTAGAGTAGTGAAATGGTAATTTAACAGTCTTCTATTCTTTCATGAATAAGTATTCACAGAACAATTTGTGAAATTATTTCCATTTAAGCTAGAAGTAGTGGCATGTATATATAATCCCAGCTACATAGGAAGCTGAGGCAGCTTCTTTTCAACTTTGTGGCTAGCCTGGCCAAAGTAGTCAAACTTTGTGTTAAAATAAGTTTTTTAGAAAAGTGCTGGGGATGTGACTCAGGGATGAAGCCCTTGCCTAGACTGCTAGGGCCCTTAGTTTAATTCCAAGTACCAGAAAAAATTGTCACTATTTCCCTTTTTAAAAAGTAGGTTCAGTTATTCAATCATGAGTGACAATATAATATTTTAATCAGGATGTACATTCTGTTTCAGTCTTGGAAAGTGGGTTAGGGAGAGTATTACCTTATGAAATAGGAAAAAGATCCTAAAATGCTTTGACTAAAAGGATTATATGTGGACTATATAGTCAAAGTATTTTAGGATTCTTTATTATATATAGACTATATAGTCAACCTGATTAGTCAAATAATCTTCAGGGAACATAAAGCTTAACATCACACTTGTTGATTTTGAAACATTTTAAAACTACAGTAATCTAAACAATATAAGACATAAGAGACAGACATAAAGACCAATGGTTCAGAAAAGAAAGCTCAGAAGCAAACTGTCTCATATAGAGTTAATGGTGATCTGACAAACATGCCAAGGTTGTACAGTGAGAAAAGGACAATTTCTTCGCTAAGGTTATGAGTAAGGTGGATATTTTCACTCAACAGAATGAAGCTAGACACATAGTATACCATACAGAAAATGAATTAGAAATGGATGTAAGATTTAAACCTTAGACCTAAGCCTGTAAAATTGCCTGACTAAAGTACATAATAGCTTTGTGACTGCTATTTTGATTGGATATCGCTTAAATGGCTTTCAGTGCTTCATATGTTGAAATTTCACCCAAACTGTAAGCTATTGAGAGAATGGAAACATCGTCTGACTACAGTGTTTAGAGATAGGGGCTTTTCATCATTTTAAATGAAGAGCATAAGAGTGGAGCCTCAGTGATTAAACCCCAGTGGCTCAAAAAAAAAAAAAAAAAAAAAAAAAGGGAGAGAAAAAAGCACACACACATGCACACTCCCTGTCTGTGGTCATGTGGTGCCTGGTGCCACCTTGGAATCTTCCAACAATAAAGTCACCACCAGTTGGGAATACTTGAACCTTCAGAGCCATGAGCTAGGTAAACCTTTCTTTATAACTCTGTGCTGTAGTTTTATCAGCCACAGAAATGCACTAACACAATGACATTAATATTTGCTGTGGTTTCTCAGATATGGTGTAAACGAAATTATTAAGAAACAAAAAGGAGTACGTGGAATCCAAAAATGTCAGCACAGCAAAGTGAGCAGTCATTAGAGGGAATAGACAATGAACTAAACAAGAGACAATATTTGCACACATTCTATCTGACAAGGGTTTAATCAAACACATAACGAACTCCTACAGCTCAATACTGAAAAGCACAATCTGATTAAAAACATAGACTTGAAGAGATATTTCTTCAAAGAAGGCAGAAGAGTCAAAGAAGTATATCAAAAGATACTCACCTTTATTCATCATCACCTAGGAAATGCAGTTATAACAATGATATATCACCTCATTCATTTGGATAATGATTACTCAAAAATCTAAACATGCAAGTGTTTATAAGGATTTGGGGAACCTGGAAACTTTTTGCATTGCTGTTGAGAATGTAAAACTGTGTAGCTGCTCTTGCAAAAAGTATGAAGTTCTTTTAAAAGTTGTAAAGACAAGTACTGTATGATTCACCTACCCTACTTCTTTATATTTACCTAAAACAATTAAAAATCAGGATTTTGAAGAACTATTTGCAATAGTTTCTTCTCAAAATCCTGTCCATTTTAAGACAAAAACGTACTAGAATCTTCTTTGATATACATACACATACATATATCTCTTCTACTCATGGTGGGCCAAAGTGATTTCAAGGCTCAGCCACAGGGCAAGGACAAGCAACTGTCCAGCAGGAAGGAGCTGCAAATTTGTGAAAAACAATGTGACATTTATAGTCACTCCCTTAAGAAAATGGATGGAACCAATGGGAAGAAAAGGAAGGTGTAAAGGAGAGTAATGCAGGTCTTCGTATAATCAAGAAAAGTTAAATGTATGTATAAGGATATCACACTGAAACCTAATATTTTGCAAAATTGTACAGAGATAGAATCTATTCTTGGTGCAAAATTTACAATCATTTAAGGAAGATGAAGTTGACTTGAAGTATTGTACTCCATGTCTTTGCAGGTTTTTGTGGTTATAAGACTTAAGTAGTGTGCACTGAAATGGGCCTTGCTCCAAAATCTAAAGTTGCTTTAGCTATGCCTTGAATAGATAAGAGTGTCTGGAATGCATGTTTTCTTAGGTCTTTAGAGTATGACACATCCACTACCTGTGTTATCCATGTTTTCCTTGAGCTGCTTTATCTCCAAAGGCAGTTGTTCAATCACATATCGCAATACTTCACTTAGTAGATTGATTTGTTCCTAAAAAGACAAATGAAGTATGAATAACTTCTGACAAACCACAACTGGTCAGAAGAGACAAAGATCACTACATATTGGTAAATGGAACAATTTACCAGGAAGATATAACAATTATAAATAGGCAGACACCGAATATTGATGCACCTAATTCAGGAAAGCAAAAACTCCTTGACAAGAAGGGGCAGAAAGATACCACAACAACTATTGTGGAGGATTTCAATACCCTATCCTCACAAATAGATAAGTAAACCAGGCAAAAAATTAATAAAGAACTATCAGAGTCTATCTACATCATAGAACAAATGGATTTACAGATAGCTATAGAGAGTCTCATCCAATGACAGCACAGTATACATTCTTCTCAGCAGTTCATAGAATGTTTTCAATATAAATTATATTTTAGGCATGAAAGCATGTCAAAATTAACACAAGAGAATTGTAATAATCTGTTTCTTGTCAGATGACAATCGAATGAAACTAGAATACATTGAAAGAAACCACAGAAACTATCCAAACACATGCAGATTAAATAATATACACTAGAGTAATCATTGGGCCACAGAAAAAAATGAGGGAAAGAAATTTAAAAGTGCTAATTGAATGATAATGTGAATCTAACATAACAGAGTCTACGGGACACAAAGAAAGCGGAGCTAAGAAAGAAGTTGTTAGTTATGAGTGCCTACTTTAGAAAAATAGAGAGATCTCCAATAAACAGCCTGAGGCTATCTCAAGAAGTATTGTGCTTGGCATCTACTGGATGGATTCAAGCAGACCACCCAAATGCAGTTATACCCAGATAGGAAGGCAGAGGTTCCCTAGGCGTGCATATTTTCTGCTTGTAGTTGACAAAGCCCTGATTCAGAGGCTAAGACCTTGGGAAGACCGGAACAGAATCCCAGGGTAACCAGACTCAGGGTGTGGTGTAAAAAAGAGAAAACAAGAAAGACTATTTTCAGGAAGTGTTTAAAATCTAGAAGTGGGGGATAAGTAGAGAATAAAAATTGCCTGCGTAAGGACGGCCATGCTAGCCAGGCTAGAGAAAGAAATGAGGTAAGTAGGGTAAGAGGTTACCAAACAGTGATGGGACACTCAGGCTGATCCATGGGGCAAAAGATTCACTGGGGTGGGATGTAATATGGGACAAAGATTCACTGGTAATCACTGTGCTGTAGTCATGAACAAATAGATGACATGCCTGTCCTCGTGTAGTTCACTTCCCAGCAAGTGGAGAGTGACTCTACACATACAAATTAGGTAAATTGGGATCTAAAGAGTCATATGCTAAGGAGACAGGGAACGAATAAAGAGGGCCAAGGATTGATGATCTTAGTTGGAAAGGCACAGTAACATTATCAAAGGGGTCCTGGGAGATGTCCCTAAACAGTTGACATGGGATCAAAGAATCGCAGACTAAGGGTGGAGAGCCTGTAGCTGGAGGGGGAACAATGTTAACGACTCCATCCCCACTCTAGTAGGCAGGTGGCTGTTTCTCTCCAGTGTTTTATTTTGGGTTTTACTAATGGCTGGTGAAGGTGATTGTATTTCCATGCACTTATCTGACACCCATCTATTTCCTTTGGTGAAATGTCTTCTCAGTCCTTCAATCCATTTCTCAGTTGGTATTTTATTTGTTTGTTTTCTTACTGTGAACTCCTCAGAGTCTTTGCATTTCCTGCATGTAAGTCCTTTGTCAGATATGTCATCTGAAGATATTTTCTTTCAGTCTATGGTATATCTTTTATTCTTACGGATATTTTTGCAGAGCAAAATTTGTTTCTCGTGATGAAATCTAATTTATTAAATTTTTCTTTATAATTCAAAAGTACTTTTAAAAACACTGGCTAAACTTAGTTGAGAGATCAATTTATTTTTAATTTAATTTAATTTAATTTTTTTAAGAGATCAATTTAAAGTAAAGTTTTACCCCTGGCTCTGCTCCAAATTGCAGTAGCAACTCAAACTGGGCTATAGTTTAAGTGTTTTTGAAATTATGCTTGGGAGACTTTTTTTAGCCTCTGTGGCTGTTGCCAATGATTTGAAGTTCAGTAGCAAGCAGTGCTGACCTCTTAAAGTCTGATAAGTCAGCATGACGAATAATACGTGTTTCCTTAATTGGTAAACAGACACTAACTCTCATAGTCTGTATTCAAAAGTTTTGGAGCTCTATTGTGTATACTTAAGAAATTCTAAAGATATTATCACTATGAAAAGGATAAAGAAAAATAGTTTAATTACTAAACCCTGATTCTTGGTATTACGCATGATTAAAATCCCAGGGGACTGAATTTTAGAAAAGAACTTGGAACTTTTCAGATAATTCTTAACTTGCTGTTATGGCTTATATCTAGATGTCCCCCAAAGAGTCATGTTTTCATAGGTGCAGTAATTGGGAGGTGGTTGGATCATGGGCATATGATTCTGGAATAAGGTTGTAATAATCCAGTTAGTCCACTGATTAGGATAGCTCTGGATGTGGGTAAAGGGAAGGCCCAATCTGGGTGTGAAGGGCACCAAACAATAGTATTGTAGCCTGAATGGATAAAAAAGGGAAAAGGAGGCTGATGCTTGCTGCTTCCTGCCTGTGTTGCCGTGGGCTGCTTCTCCTCTGTGACGCCCCTTAGAAATACCACCTTGCCTTGGAGCCAGCTGACTATGGATTGAAACTTCTACAAACTTGGAAACCAAAATAAACCTTTTCTCATTTAAATGCAGGATAGGGCATTTTGTTCCAGGAGTAGGAAAGTAAGTAAGACACATGAGGTCCTACTTGTTTTTTCACAACACATTAGTAAGCAAAAACAAAAATAAAAACAAACAAAAAACCCCAAAAAACCCCAACTCAACCAAACCAAAACATAAATCCAAAGAACATGCAAAAGGATGTGGGTTTTGCCCAAATGGTAATTCCACTTAGCTTGTCCAAAAAAAGACTAAGAATTTACCTACATATATTTTCTTTTAGAGTTATACTTGTTTCATAGACAAAATTGTCCCATTTGATATGCTGGGGAAAAATTTGTGGAAATAAAAAAGGTTACATTCTTAGCTCACATCTAACATTTAAGCAGTATTTGCTTTCCTCTCACATTTTCCTTGTAAATTTTGTAACTATTGTCTGTCAAAATTCTGTATTTTATGAGCTTGTCACTTACAGCCTCATAAACTTAACTATGGACTCTAAGTACAATTTAATCTAAGTAAGAATTAAAATTCTAAGCCATTTTGTTAATGAAATTTGCCTAAGTCCTTGTTTCCCCGTTGCTTGGGGTGGAACACTGGGCCTTCTCATTGCACTATATCACTGGCCATTTTTAAAGTTTTTTGTTTTGAGATAGGATCTCAGTCATTACAAAACTATACTGCCCAAACTAGGTTTGAATTTTCAACCCTTGCGATCTTCAGAGTTCTGGGACGGCAGACATGCTCAACTTTACACAGCTTTTTAAAAAGGTTTAAACATTTATTTCAATCATTTATCATTTACCCCCTATATGGGACTTGATTGACCAGCAGGACAGAAACAAAGAAAGTAAAATTTCTATCTTAACAGCAAGGAATCCAACCACACATGGTTAATCAGTTACACATTCAGAGAGGAAGAGCAGGGTGACGTGGCACACACCTGTGATCCTAACACTTGAGAGGTTGAGGCAGGAGGATTGCCATGAGTTTGAGGCCAGCTTGAACTACATAGTGAGACCCTATCTCACCAAATAAACAAACAAATAAAAAAAACCAACAGAGGAAAAAGAGTGTGTGTAGTGACAAGTGAACTGGAAGTTCAGTATGGAGTCACTTGTGTTTCCTGAAGTCACAGTAAACAGCCACAGGTAAGGAAAGGGTTTTGCTCATGATTGCTTAAAAGCAAAAGTATTTCCAGTAAGTGGAGCTACTGACTATTCTCTGACTTCGTCTTATGTTTGCATTTGGCTCCACAGTCACTAATGGGACTTTTGTCAGCTCAAGCACTGAACTCCTTCTACTTACGCTCCAAATGATTTCTGAGTGGATAAAACCACCCAGATGGCAGGGCACCCAAGTCCCCTAAGATAGAGGAAAAGAGCAGACCAGGGGGACGTTGAAAGGCAATCTTGAAAGAGAGTTTCAAAGTTAAAATCTTAAAACTAAGCTATTTCTCTAACTTCCTCATTCCCACTTCTGGCACCAAGAAGGCTTCAGCAGAAGCCAACTTCCAACAGTTTTCTGGGCCCAGTGGCAGCCCATTAAATAGCTGAATTTAATTTCATTTTGGCTTTTGTTCTATCCCTGCTATGAATTAAAGTACTTCCATCCAGCGGATGAAAGCAGGCTAGCTGTCCTGCCAATTTAGCCAAATTGTGAATAAACACATGTTCTGTTTGATTGGCACTCCTATGCTCTCAATGTTAAATGGCGAATTGAATCCCAATAGTTGGGCTCAGAATCAAAGCTCTGGTAGGGTCCCCAGTCACATATATATGTAACACAGAAATGAAATGGTCTCAAATTCAGACAAGTGTCTTGATCTTAGTTCAGGACATTTAACTGAAGCCCACACAGCTTGGTACAGGAGTAACAGATGATGGGCATGCAAATCAGAGCCCCAGGTTATTTCTGCACATGACTGCCAAGTGAACAGAGAATGGGACCAAGCTGAGAAAACAGGCAGTAGTGTGCAAAGGTTGATGAGATTTTGCTCACAAAAATCCTTGTAGAGTTAAAGTCCTAACAGATTGGACTGACAAAATCATGTTATAAAGACAAGTATTTCATCAACTGGGTGATCTAAAGGAGGCTTTTCTGAGCCTGTATTTCTCATAAGAGGGAAATTTTTTTTTTTTTTTTTTTTTTTTTTTTTTACATATTGCTAGGTAAGAGATGCAGCAGATAAAACATTTTTATGATGCTTAGTGGACAAAGCTGCCATGAATCAAAGAATATACTTACTGACGGGGCAGCACTGAAAATATTTTGTAAATGTATGTGTGTTTGTTGTTATGTTTTCATTCTTTTATCTTTAAAATAAAAAAATATATGTTCAAAAAGCATGAGAATCAGTGGCAAAAGCGCCTGCTTGGCAAGCGCAAGGTCGTGAGTTCGGTTCCCGGTACCGGAGAAAAACCAAAAAAAAAAAAAAAGCATGAGAATGAGACGGGGCAGCACACAGGTGAGGCAAGCACACAGCAGTCAGGATGTACAAGATCCTTTTGGGGCCTTCATGGTCTCCTTGCCAATTTTAGTGATGAGGGAGAATGGACAGAAAAGGAAAACCAGAAAGTTAAAGATGGTTCAGCGGATACCTGGAGTTTAACATCTAGAGTCTCCATTTGCTCTTTTAGCAGCTGGGCCCTCTCCTTTGCCTTCGTCTTAGTCAGCTGGTTGATATGCTCCTGATGGCTCTTCTCTTTCTGCTCTCGCATCTCCTGATTCCTCTTTTGCCTTTCCTCCTGCATTTTTGCAGCAGCCTCTTCAGATTCAGCTTTCACACGTTCCACTGAAAGGAATGAGAGAAAGGGCTACGGGTTACTACGTGGCCTCGCGTCCTTCCTCTTTATATGTTTATTGTTGCTGCTGACTGTGTGGGAATATAAGATACATCTTTGCTTTTTTTGATCCAGTTTAAGACTACCACATATACGTAAATTATTTAAACTTTTAAGAGATTTTGAGGTCATGTATCCTCTTCACTTACTCCTCACCTTCGAATTTCTTTTCTTTCTCTTTGAGAGTTTTGTCTGCCCATAGAATGACCAGACTCACATCCTCCTTGGACTGCAAATATTCCTGCAGAACCTCTTCAGCCTTCCAAACCAAAGAACACAGGGTTAAGAGTAGGAAAAGACTGTAAGCATTCATTTCTGACTTTTGCCTACCAACTTTTTGTCTAGGAACTGTCGCTCCTAGGTCTGGGGGATCCTGGTGGCCAAGATTCTCTGTTACCAAGAATGGACACATGCTCCAGGCTTGCCAGTAAGACCCCCTGTCCATGTCCCAAGAATGTTCTTTATAGGAAGCTTGAGGGAAAAGAGACTTGTGTTGTTTTAGACTGAAGGCACTAAGTTTAAAGTTAATGGTGCTATGATCTCTACAGTGTGCTAAAGAATGAAGCCTTCCTGGAGACAACAGATCAGAGAAGGAAGTGGAAGGAGGAAGAAAGCTAAGGAAATGTGGGTCAGGAGGGTAACAGGCAGGAAAAAAGGTGACAACTCAGCTGTTATTTGGGTGTGCACTCTCTGAGGAGTACCTAGGGCATAGGCGTCTCATGGGTGTTACTGATAAAAGTGCGAGTGTGGTGCAGACAGTAAGGCACATCACTGAGTAGTTAAGGTTGGTCACAGTGATGCAGGAAACCAGCACAACAACACAGGTAAAGGTTGTTTACCTGTATCCCCTTCCTGGGTTCTTCTTGGTACTTTTTCTTCAGGTTTTGTACCTTCTGAATAAGGAGACGGTAGCCCCCTGGTTTAGAATAAGTTCCTTGATTCACCTCTGCTTCTAGGGGACTGAAAATATCCTGAAGTAAAGCTAAACAGTGATTTGAAGATGCTTCCATATTCTGTTCACAAAAGTCATCTCGCCTTTTTTCTAGCTGGGCCTTTAATGCAAAAATAAGAAATAAAAAATAACCAGGGAGAGACAATATTTTGTTGTCAGAGTTTCTGAGAACACTTGTCAAAAAGATTATGACCCTAACTTTTTACTAAAGTTTCTTTGTAAACTTGAACCTTAATAAAGTTCAATATCTGAGCAGAGATTGTTAGCATTATGCCATACTTTAGAAGCAAACTTCTAAGTTTTCAGATTATATCAGTGATTTTTTTTTTTTTTTTTTTTTTTGTCTTTTTGAGACAGGATCTTGCTCTGTAGTTTAGGCTAGCCTTGAGCTCACTTTGTAATCCAGGTTGGTCTTGAACTTGAAAAGATCCTCCTGCCTCACCCTCCTGTGTCCTGGGATTACAGGTGTGAGTCACCATGCTCTGTCTTAGACCAATTATTGCACATGGAATAAATGTACCTCAAAATAAGCCTGCATTAGGTAACTTAGAATAATATTTTCTTTGCTTCTTTCTTGAATATCAAACTAATGTGATAACAGTGTAGATGTAATATGATTAGAAGTCCTGATTAGTAATTTTATGCATTTAGTTATAATAACAGGAAGATTATTAACTAATCGTGAAAGAAAAAAGTTTTAAAACTTTGAGTCCATAATAATAAAATTGTTACTTTTTACTATTATGATTATCCACAGGTACCTAATACCTTTTCAAAATTTGGGAATAATTTCCCTTATCAAAATATGTACTTATTTCATTTCCTTGTAGTACTTTGTCTTCTCTAATCCAAATCAACATACTCTTGAGATAAAAGTTACTTACTGCCAATTGCTTTTGACATTCTTGGTCAACATCTTTGAAAGAATGGTTGATGAAGATCTGAATGGCCTCCCTCTCACAGGCCCTGTGCAGGTCCAGCAGCTCCTGAAGTGTGTCTGTGGGCAGCTGCACCTTCTGGCCCATCTGCTGGTCATAGTGTTCTAAGGCTGTCCTCATTGCAGCTGAGTTCTCTGTCTGGGCCAAGGCCTGGACTGTTTTCTCCATGCAGGGCAGATCCCCACTGCTGATGGCAGTGACATAGGTCTGCACCAGGCTCTCTAGATCTGCATAGAGAGAGCAGGTGATGATGCTTGTTATAGGCAGACTGGAAAAATTCTCCATTGTATGTAATTGTGAACATGTCATTTACCTCCTATTTGGCTCAATGTGTCATTGGTGTAATTACCAGTGTACTTGGTAATGCATGAAATATATGGCACCTCAGCTCTGGCCAGACATATTGAGTTTGCCCTTTCTCTTCAGAAGGACTCCTAGGTGATGTGTACCTACAGGAAGAATTGAGATTCCTGGATATATACTGTATAGGACTGTTTATTAGAATTTCTCATCCATTTATCTCTACCCACCATTAGGACTAGATCTCTGTCTCTTTCCATTATATCTGTATCATCCCTCCTGTGAACAGTTAGCACTTAATCACTATTTATAGAACAAGAAATGCAATCACAATCAAAAGCTATTACCATTTGGTTTATTAAAGTAAGCAGCAGCATTCAAGAGAATACAATAGTCGGGGCTGGGGATTTAGCTCAGTGGCACAGCGCCTGCCTGGCAAGCGCAAGGTCGTAAGTTCAATTCCTGGTACCGGAAGAAAAACAAACCAAAAAAAAAAAAAAAAAGAGAGAATACAATAGTCATTAGGCACATGAGGATATGGGCCTTTGAAATATAGCCATGAGATCTATTTTAATTTTTTTCATTTAAATTAATTTACCTTTAAATTTAAATAATCATTTTTTTTTAGTGGCTACCATATTGCAGATTGCAACTCTAATTTACTTAAGGAATTTTAAAGCAGTAATTTTTTTTTTTCCTTTAGGCTTTTCCTCTTTTTTCCCATCAAGATATGTGATTAACAAAATTTATTAGAAAAGTTGAGGCCATCTAAAATGTAATGGAAGAGTGGTACATTTGCAAACTTGAAACTGGATTCATTTTTTTTTTCTTGTTCCTCAGTCTTATGAATGAGTGAAACTAGGGAAGGGTACTCACAAGGTCCATTGACCTGGATGCCTCCTGGAAGAGTTTTAGTCCTGGAATAGCTGAAGATGTAAGAACAGAATTCTGCAACTTGCTCCACGAATTCAGAATCCTGCTTAACATTATGCAGTGTTTCGAGCTGGGCCAGCTGCTTTCCATGAGTGGGTCTATCGAAGATAAAGCATTTCCTCTTTGGGAAGAACTCTCGGATGCAGAGTCGGGGGAGATTATAATTTTTAAGTTTCTCATCAGTACCTGTAAGAAGTAAAAAGGGATTCACCAACTGTAGGGATTTGTAAACATTTTTTGTAAATAGTACATATTTTCAGCTTTTCAAGCCAGATAGCTTCTTTCCTCTGCACTCAACTCACTGACTGTGGCCTGCCAACATCTGCAGACAATATGTAAATGAATGGGCTCAGTGTTTTTCTAATACTATCTATTTCAGGACAGGAGACAGGGTCTCATTAGCTAGCATTTGTCTGTAGGCCATACTCTTCCAAAACTTCAGTTATTACACTTGGGCTATGACACTGCTTTAATCTGTTTTCTTGAAGTATACATTCATTGTACACCACATTCTTTGGATAAATGCAGAATCACAAATGACAAGCACCAAGAGAAATTTAAATTAAGCATAGCAAAGGTGAAAGACTGAAACTTGTCTCTGAACTGGGGAGAAAGTATTTTAAAATTGAATCTATTAATTCAGATATTAAGCATTAATTTCCAGGTGTAGGTAGGTAGAAGTAATAGAAAGCTCTAAATGTAAAAAAAGTATAATTAGAAAAGTGTAAGTTGATAATTTGTAGCATTTAGATGTTCCCAGTTACCCATTATCCATCCATATTACCTTGCTTTAGCTTCAGGGAATTCTCAAGGTAGATGTCTGGAGAGATGGAACCTCCATCTTTTTCTAATAGTAGGGAGAAATCTCTCAGTGTCCACACAAAGTCTGGGAAGAAGCTCACAAAGTCAGCTGAGTTTTGAACTTCACTTGTGTTGGGTGCGGACTTTGCTCTGATTCGGTCTGTCAGTCCAGTCACATAGCTGAGGTGCTAACTAAGGAAAACTGACAAAAGTAACAAGGCCCTTCATCCCATATGAGTTGGACAAATCCACAAACTTTTATTTTATCTTTGTTCTTAGCCTAAGTGTCATTTCTTTAGTAGTACATGAGTGTTTCCGGACTTGAATTATTGCTTATGTTTTCTCTTTTTGGGTTGGCTGCACCAGGGTCTAGAGCCATGTGGCTAGTTCACTCACACAGGTCTGTCCTGGACTACACAAAGGATACTGCAGTTGGTCCATGGCCTGCTGGTTGATGGCTCCCATGCTGTTATACACAAAGGTGCTGCTCAGAAGTATGGCCAGAGTGAAGATCTGGGAGTCATTCTGATTGTCACCCTGGAAGTCAGAACACATTTGGGCCAAAAGTACATTATATTCTTGTGTCAGTTTGCAGATCAGCAGCGGCAAAAGTATCATCACTTGGAGCTTTTAGAGTAATTACATAGAAACCTAAATTCAAATATAGGTGTAGTGTATAAGACTTGAACTTGGAATATTTTTTGATGAATGTTTGATTTACACTGATTCTCTTTAGGCTCTCTTATGATTATTGGCAGATAATTAAAAACCAGTCAAGGTTCTTAGGTCTTTTTAAAAAATCATTAAATTTGTTTTAAAAATTATAAAATGCTTCTTATAAAAGAGCACTACATTCTGCATAGTGTTCTGAATGGATGCCAGGGACATGTGGACTATTGTGACTGCCCCCCAAATGTTTACAGTGACCATAGAAAGCAAAGTGTTCACAATAATTGCATGGGGGGGGGAGAATTTTTTTAAAACCACTAAGAAACAATAAAATCCACTCTGCTGCTGTTTTAAGATTTCAACTTTAGCATTTGCACTCCCCCATTTATAAGGAACTAAAATATTACATCTGGTGAACAGCAAAGATTTCATTAATCTCAAATGCAGAACACCTTGAAGAAGGGGAATGTTGGCTTTTTAAATGAAAATAATTTTAAAAAAAGATAGAGAACTCCTTCAGGTTCTTCACTCGTCTTAGAAAAACTTTCCAGACTACTGACTTGCACTATAAGAAAGAAAATATAGCTTGCATTAGAATCCGTCAGCATCTGCAGACAGCTGCACACTGTTCTGCAGCCAATACTGGGCGTTCTGTGTCTGGCCCTGTGTTCCTGTAATGATAATGATTCAATCTTTGGATCCTTCTAAAGGTTTTAATTTTGATAGATATTTCCAATTCAAGATAGATTTGTTTATTCTATTGACCACCTTTGCCAGTAATAGATCCAGCCAAATCTTTGGGATAGTGACTTTTGCAGTAATAATAAGTCCACCAAGATCTCTATATGTGCCACGACCCCTGCATAGGGATAATCATATCCAGGGCCACCCTGTGGTTCATGTGCCATCTGCCATTGTGATGGGCTCCATGCATCTATTGCAGAGTCCCAAGTTTCATCAGCACTGAACCAAACCACGCCATTGTAGTGGTCTCTGGGTCTCCCTCTTCTATAATAGGCCATTAGATCTCCACCTCTAGGTGGTGGTGGTAGTGGTGAAAGCAGCAGGTTTGGAGTTCTGCTAGCATCCTGACCATCTCAACCAGGAGAGGGTAGTGGTCCCTGTTGAGGGCTCATGTCATCATAATCTTTTCCAGAGGGATGCAGGGGACACTCAGCCTGACCAAGAGGCATTCTGTCAAAACCACCGCTTCCCCGAATGGGAAATCCTACAGACTGTCCACGGTGGTCATCAAACCTCATGGTAAAACCACCATAATTGTAAGTTTCATTTTTGTAAAAATTAGGATCATAATGTTGCACATGTCTTTTGATGGGAGACTCAGCTATAAGGTCAAGGGCAATCTTTACGCACTCTACAACCCTATCAAGCTTTCCTCCAATAAGACAAACTGTCAGTGGAATGAGGACAGTGTTCTTAGAAAAGCTTGATTGTTATCTGAGTGTTCTCTCAAAGTTCTTTGACTTTAGTACCTTTGACCCCAATAATTCCCCCTGCCATACTTTGATGAATTAACAGTCTCAACTCTCAGTTAAAGTCACTTCCTTTGTAGTGTTGGTAATGTAAGCATTCCACAACGTCAGATCTGAGTGGGAGCTGGCTGCTGGCAGTGGGTGATGGCAACTGCAGGCCCTCTTCCAGTATAGAGACAATTTTCTTTAGAATTTCTCCAACTGTTTCAATATCAGCACCGAGAATGTATGCTCAAGGCCACTGCTATCTGGTACTGAAACACTGACACTGTAGTCTGTATGGAAAGCCTTAATATTCTTGCCTCCTTTTCCAATCCCTGCCGCAGCAATCTTGCCCTGAAGGAGCATTTGTAACTCAACCATCTCATGATGGTTTCTCGGTCTTTTAAATGCTTCTGGATCTTCTGCAGGAGATATACCAAATTCACTATTGATTTCAGTGTTGGGGAAGATTTCCTCTGACTGCTCAGTTTCCACTTGCTTATATAAATGGACACACCATTCAGTTATACTATAGCTTTGCAGAGCAAAACTGTAGTGTTCTGGTCAGGACCAACAACTGACACACCAACATTGCAGTAGCCATGCGAGCCTGCCTTATTTCACTGGTGTGCTCCTAGATGGTCAGAGCTAGGCAGAGAGCAAGTGAAGCTAGGTTTGTAGGTCTTAAAGACAATTTAAAAATTTCTTGTTTTTTAATAGCAAAATTTATTTATAAGAGAAGTAGTAGACCCTGATGTAGTGATGCATGCTTGTAATCCTACCTACATGTGAGGCTGAAACAGGAGAAATGTAAGTTCAGTGCCAGTCTAGGCAATTTAGTGAAAACCTTCTTCAAAATAAAAAAAAAAATAAGCAAATAAGAGGCTAGGGACATAAGTTTAACTTTTCCATCCCTTGGACTGCTTAAATAAATAAATAAATAAATGTGTGTGTTCATGATTCTTGTAGCTCTTTTATAGCAATTATTATATACCAGAAATATTATCTTATTACATAATCAGAACAATACTAGGAGGTACATGTAAAGCTATTACATGTATTTGACACATCAGAAACCTGAAGCTAAAAGAAGTCAAATTATTTTCATAAGTGCACCAAGTTAGAACCAGGATTCTAATTTAAAAATACACTCACCAGGCTTCAACTCCTAAATCCTTAAAGTATGCGGTATTATAAGACTCTTGACACCAAGTATATTTGTGTTTTAGTTTTTCATACAGGATAACGTGCTTTGTTTATACATTTTGGTTGATACTTAGAACATCATATTAACCATGTGGCTTTCCTGCTAGGACTCTGTTTTAGTAACATTTTTCTGATTTCTGGTTGCTAAACTTAGTCTGCTCAGTGTAAGCAAAAAATGAAAAGATATATTAATTTAAGTAGAATCTTTTAAATACTTAAAAAGTGCTTATTGTAGAGTATATTCAAAGTCAAGGAGCTCATCCAAAATCGAGTCCTCATCCTTACTTTCTCAACATCTCCCAGGCCCTCGGTGTCAAGCAGAACTAGAGTCTGGTTTGGCTTCTTGGGATGAGGCACACACCACATCCAGATTCCTTTGGTGTGAGCCTGCGCTGTGGATCCCAGAGAGAAGCCTGCAAAACACCGGTGAGATGCAATGTGTGAGTTTTAATAGCAGGTGTGTCTGAAACTGAGATAAACTTTGGCATAATCAAGGTTAGGAGTGAGCCCTGAAGTTACAGCAAGTATTGATCTAGTTACAGTCAGAAATTATAACAATAGATTGCCCATTAGAAGAAAAAAATCCCATAATTTTATAACAGAATGCATTCATCAGCCCAGTGTGATGGGGCTTTGCCCGTATAATCTCAGTTATACACAAGCCTGATGTACTAGGATCACCATTTCAAATTCAGCCTGGTCCATGTAGTGAGACTTTATCTCAAAACAAAAATTTAAAAAGGCCTAGGAACATAGCTTAGTGATAGAAAGCTTCTCTAAAATGAGGCTCAGTTCCCAGTACTACAAAAACAGAAACAAATAAAATAAACAAAGGTTGGAGATATAGCTCAGTCCTTGCAGGGTTGAATGCTTAGTACTGCAAAAATAGTCAACAAACTAGAATTAGAAGGAAACTACATGAGCTCAATGGAGTCCAGATATGGAAATTCCCAGCCATTGTTATATTCGACAGTAAAAGACTGAAAGCTTATCGTCCAAGATCAGACACAAATAAAATGGTGTCTACTTTGGCTGGTTGTGTTTAACATTGTTTTGGAAGACCTACCCAAAATAGGCAAGAAAAAAGAAGTAGAAACCATCAAAATTTTGAAAGAATAAGTAAAATTATCTTTGTGAACAGATGATGTGGTCTCAGATATGAAAAATATTAATTATTTGAAATCTTGTTAATCCTAAAAAATGAATTCAGCTATGTTACTGCATATACATCAACATGCAGATGTCATTTGCATTTCTATACACCAAAAGTGAACAATTTGAGTAGGAAATTCAGAAAACAATCCTATTTATATGTGCATCAAAATAATAAACTACTTGGGGATAAAGAACGCCAATTATAGTCTTAGGACTTAGATACTGAAGAGTACAGATCATTGTTTTACAAACTGAAGAAGATTCAAATAATATGAAAAAAATCCCATGTTGATATAAAGGAAGAAAAAATATATATACAGAGTATATATAGAATATACAGAATATAGGATATATAATACATTTATTATTTTTTGAGGCAGGTTCTCACTGTACAGTTCAGGCTGGCCTTGAACTCATAGCAGTCTTCTTCCTTCAGCCTCCTAAATGCTGAGATTACAGGAGTGAGCGACCATGCCCAGCTCTGACTTAATATTCTTAATACTTTATTACTTTCCAAAGTGATATATAGATTTAATGCATCTCTATCAGAACTCCCAATGAATGTCTTGTAGAAAAATTTAACCTAATTTTTGTACAACATGTCTAGACACTGCAAAGTAGTAAAAACCCAAATCTTTAAAAGGAAGTACAAATTTGGAGGAGGCCCACTTTCAGTATTCTCATAGCGCAAAACTGGTAAACAAAACAGTGTGGAAGCAGCATGAAGACTCACATACAGAACAGTAAAATAACAGGAAGAGCCCAGGAATTAGCTTGTACATTTGGGCAAATGATTTTCAGTTACCATGCCCATGGAAAGATGCTGAACGTTAATAGCCATTTAGGAAAATATAAGTTGAAACCATAATATACTACCTCATCCACAGCAGAACCACCACTCTAAAAAAAAATGAACAAACAAAAGCAAACAAAAACTAACAAATATTTGCATAATGTTCAGAAATTAAAACATTTGTGCATTTCCTGTGGGAACATAAAATGATGCATTCAATCAGGAAATTGGAGTAGTGATTCCTCAAAAATTAAATAGAATTACCATTTGAGCCAGCAATACCACCCTTGGGAAGACCCCCAACCCTTGAAAAATTTCAAGCACTGACTTGAACTGATATTTTTATACTTACATGCATATCACCATTATTCCTAATGGCCAAAAGGTGAAAGAAAACTACCTGTTCATTCATGGATGAGTGGATAAAGAAATTGATATACACTTATTGAGCTTTAAATGCAAAGGACATTTGACACAGGCCACAACATTGATGAATCTTGAAGACATCATGTTAGGTCATGAAATGACAGTTTTTGTATGATGTCATTTATATGCTGTTCATAGAACTGTCAAATGTGTAGAGACGGTGTACAGAGGTGGTGGTGAGGTGGATGTATAGGGAGTTGTTTAAAGGATGCAGAGCTTTTTGGAGCTCATTTGAGAGATGGAGGGAGGTGATGGCTACAGAAAAATGTAAATTTACTTAATGATGTAGAAGTGCACATTTAAAAGATTTAAAAGTTGTAAATTATGTATATTTTAAATAATAAAAAAGAATATGGAATACAAGTTGAGGTTTTTTTTTTTTTTTTTTTTTTTTTTGGTAGTGGTGGTGCTGGGGACTAAACTTAAGGCTTCAAAGCATACAAGGCAAGCATTCTGATACTGAGCAAAAGCCCAGCCTCAAAGCTTTTCTTAACCTTAAAAATCCATGAAAACTTGCACTTCCAGCACAAATGTTTTAATAAGCATCTTATAGCATATTACTGTCTACATTAATTACTCATATTACTGCCTTCCTTCTTCTAGAAAAGGATTATGATTCTAAAAGGAATTGGAGGCATAGTGGGTGGGGATTGGTGGTGAGCTTTCATTCCCTAGAGAGAGGGGATAACAGATAAAAAGTCCACCTATGAGTGGCAGATTAGCTTGCAGTATTCTTTTCTGGCTCTACTTGTCCCCGCCGAGCTCACATGCAGGATGCTGGCAGTGTGGATGGAGAGAGGGCTCAGCAGATTCTTGCTGGCGGCACTCACCCTCTTTCTCTCCAGCCAGCTTGTTCATCAGGTAGGATTTGCCTGTGTGGTAGAGGCCCACGATGGCAACCACTACAACAGGCTGGGTGACAGCAGACAGGATCTTCAGAGCTTCCTGATTCACCTTCAGCTGCCCTTCAGTGTTCTCAATGAGGCACACTGGGGCTTGCATGTGGGTCTGAGAGGCCATGTCCAGTGTGTGTTCTGGTCTGCAAGGGCAGGGGTGGGAAGAATCAGAATTTCTAGTCTTTGTACTAAGAAATTGGATACATAACATTCTCCAGCATGAACAAACAAGTACTGTGTGCACTGACAAGACCCATGAGGAAAAATTCAGATAATCTTCAGAAAGTTTGAAAATATTATTGAAGTAGTTCATTTAAAAAATGACTTAAATAGTTCATTTAAAAAATGTCTTAAAATTATTTTTTTAAAAAATGACTTAAACATTATATATGTTGATATATCAGATAAAATTTTTTCAACATTTCACTATTCTCAATACCAAAATCATCCAGTTAATTTATTGTGAATATTTTTTTTTGGATTCTCACTAAAAATTTACACAAGACATGAAATGGAAAAACAGGATAGGATTTAGAGAATTTCTTTTTCATCCTGGGTATAAGTAAGAATTTGAACAATTATTTATTCATCCATTCTTATAATGAATAAAGACCCCAATGAATAAATGATTCATGGCTTGATGTATGTCATTTGGAGAATTCCCAGAGATTTTAGTATGCTCTTTCTTCCTGCCCCGAGTGGTTAGGCTCATTTTACTGGAATGAGGATGCACAGAATTTCTAACACTGTCTTTGCAGAAGGGAGTTTTTTCTTTTAGTGTTATGAAAATACCTGGCCATGGGTGCCCATAGGCAGGGACCTATCCAAGTACATGGGAGGAGCATAAGCAAGGGCAATGCCTGACTGGAGCTACCCAAGTTTCATAGTGAGTGAGCCTGAACTCAGAGAGGTGTGAGTGAACAATTGCAAATACTAGATGATGCTAAAAATGACAATGAAGTAAGGATTAGGAAATCAGGAAGCAGATCATGCTAGCTAGTTAAGTACTTGCTCAAAGAAAATATATTTCCTGCAATATTCTTTTACATTTTGTGCTTTTTTGGTCCCTGGTTAGTAGAGAAGAAGAAGGAGAAATAGGAAAAGGAGGAGGAGAAGGAGTGGACGAGGTGGACCATAAGGAGCTGATCACGGGAGAGAGAATTTAGACAAGAGGTGATGAATGGAGTTACAGCCCACCCAGGAATTCAGGGGAGGAATTTCTTTCTTGTTTATTTGGTGCTCCTAAATTTCTTCAGATGTTCTTTGTCATGGAAATTTCTTATTTCTCCACCAGTTTTGAAAGATAGTTTTGCAGGGTATATCAATCTGGGTTGAAGGCTGTTTTCCCTTAGAATTTGAAACACTTTACTCTGAGCTCTCCTTAACTTTAGGGTTTGTGCTGAGAAGTAAGTTGTAATTCTGATGGGCTTTCCTTTATAGGTAATTTGTTTTCCTTTTCCTAACAGCTTTTAAGGTCTATTCTTGTGTTGAATTTCCAGAATCTTGATTATGATATGCCTGGCTATAGACTCCTTTTGATTGTGGCTAATTAGAGTTCTATATGCCTCAGTTACTGTATGTCAACTTCTTTTTCCCTAGCAGGGAAGCTTTCTGCCATGAGGTCTGTGAACACTTTTTAAAAAATGTCATTTGTGCTATCTCCTGCTTTCTTATTGACTCCAATCAATCTTATGTTTTTCTTCTTTGCATTATCTAGCAGGTGCTGGATTGATTTCTCATGGTCCCTTGCTAATTTCAAGAAATCTTTCTGTTCATGATTGCTAACCACAAGCCTTTCTTGCATATCTGAGATTCTGTCCTCACATTTGGCTCATTCTGCTGCAGATATTTGCAGTGAATTTTTTTTTTTTTTTGTCTTTTTGAGACAGGCTTTCACTATGCACTTCAATGAAACTTATATTCTGGATATCTGCTTGAATCTGTTTATGGATTCCATTTCTTTCCTATATTGGACATTCATGGTTTGTATCATTTTTGTAAGATCCTCTTCTTTTATCTGTCTCTGCTCTAGAGTCATTAACTGTGGTTTTAATTATAGACATCAGCTCTGTAGGTATTTGAGGAATTATTTCTGATTTGATTTTTCCTAGAGCTTCCTTCAATTGCTTTGTTGTTACCACTTCTGAGAGGCCAGGTGGGTGTCTTTCAAATTGTCCTACCTCACTATCACCTGGGTTTGTCTTTGGTGAACTGGATGTCTTGGGTTGCATCTTGTTTAAGTGTCTTCTTCTTTTCTTTTCTTTTTTTAGTTTAATTCCTTTAGTGATGCCTGTAAACCACCCCTGGTGGGCTGCTTCCCTGCTAGCACCTAGAACTCTTAGGAAATGACCACCCCTCTGAGGTATCCCCCAGGTGCAACAGGCCCTTAGGCTTTGAATCTCTTGCAAGACCTTACTTCCCCAACCTACAGGACATGAGACGTCACTGCCCACTCGGCCCAGCCACCAGCTCCCTGGCATCAACCAGAGTGTCTTCCATGAGCCACAGTCAACTTCAGTCTTAGCATATCAGGAAGAACAGACACCCAGAACAAGCATGTCACTTTTGGCTGAAGTGGCACCATCAGCAATAACAGTAGGAACAAATGACAAACTGAGGCAACCATTATTTTCCCACCATTATCTGTATGATCCAGACCCACAGTTATATAATAAAATGTAAAACAGACCAGAAAATTACATGCAACACACAAGTCCCTAAGATGTCAACTTTATCCTCAGGGATTGAAATTTAAGAAAGGGTTGGGAAAAAATAGAGGTAGAAGAAGAGGAAGAGACTAGAAGCAAAGCTGGAGGACAAAGGGGGATCATGTCAACCTTGGGAACCTGGTGCAGAAGACTGAAGGGAAAGAGAGAAGGAAGATATAAAAAGAACAGAACAGAATCACCACTACAAAGAGGCTAGAAACCACACTTATACTCACACAAAAACAAGATCAAGCAAAGAAAGGGAAAAAAACAAGAACAAAAACAAAACCACAACCGCAATCACAAAAACAACAACAAACTGCAAACAAGAGAGAAAAGAAAATAAAAGTTCACTCCCAGACTTGTCTCTGCTGTCACTAGCAGACAACATGTGGAGACAGGGTCCTGATGCCATCCATGCAGATCCACCTCAGCAAGCCTGCAGTAGCTTTTTGGCAGGGCAGCAGACAGACTCAGGCAGCCTACGCCTTTTGGCTGAGACCAGACCCACTTGGCCTGCAGCCCTCAGCTGCCAGATGGAACCTGCAGGTGATAAACTTCTGAGCTCAGCCAGCAGGCCAATGGCTCTCACCTACAACCAAACCCCGAATCAGTTCCCATCCTCCACCACTCTCATCCACTGTGAAGTGCCCCCCATCCCCATGGAGTCCCCCAAAGTCACTGCAGTCACCAAGCATCTGCAGGCCCAGTTGCTCCTATCATGCAGCAAATCCTACCCTAGGGAGAAGACACCCTTGCCCACTCCTCATCTCCCACTAAAGCCTCTACCCCTTCTCTCTCCATGGGCCTCAACCTGCACCCTAGAACCCTCCTGGCCTGGGACCTGTATTCCTCCCTCCCGTCCTTCCTACCATGCTGCACTCCAGGGTCTGGACAGCAACATCCAGAGTGCCTCCCTCTCTGCTGCTCACTACTCCCCATCCTGGAGCCCCTCCCTTTCTTGAAGGCAGGAAAATTTGTCTGAGTTCATGGGGTTGCATAGGCAGGCAAGGAAGCCATCCTTAGTTCTGTGCTGCAGGAGATTCTATTAGGGGAAGCTGAGGAGTAAAGTACAGGGCCCTGGTTCTGCAGGTGAGACATGCAGAGTGAGTGGGCCCTAAGAAATCACTGAGTCTGCACTACTCCTGGTGGAAGACATTCAGCTTGAAACCAAGATGCATGATTAGGAGGTCAGTGCTTTCATAAGCTACATCTTGCCACCTGCATCTCCTTTCTGTGCTGTCCTCTCCTGCACACAACTGTTTGGGCAATCCTGTCCCTTCCTCAGCTGCAGAAGGAGCAGTTCTGGGCAAACCCAACAGGGACCTTGGTAATTTAATTTTTCCCCAGTCAACACAAAGTCTACAAACAGGAAGTTAAGCTCAGTTCAGCCTCCTGTACTGTGCTGAGCACTTAACTTAATACAAGCCAAGTAGTGGTCCCAGGGAACTTGGTGCTCTGATAAAATATGAATGCCATCTGATGAACTGTCCCAGCTCAGGCTCAGCTTCAGTCTTTCATGATTGTGGTGGTTTTTAAGCAAAGTAACCAGTCCTTTTCAATTCCTTTCCTTCCCTGTCCCAGGCTTAGAGGCTGCAGGTCCCCGAGCAGAGCTTCTCCAGAGCTGGAGAGGCTTCTAGAAGGGATGTCAGTGTCTTACCTGCTCTTCCCCTGGTGTAGGCTCAGGTTAGGTGCAGGTGGATTGACTTTGGACTTCTTGGTCTCTCACTTGGACGTTGAGCTTTTATAGCCTCCTCCAAGGTGTGACACTTCCTGGATGTTTTTGAGTCAGCAAATTCTGATAAATACAAAGAGCCACTGTAAGCGATTTAGAGTCCTGATAATACACAGCCAGGAATGGACTCCTTTTGTTATACGTTGTCTTTCTAGGTCCAGTGCCAACTGACTTACATGAATCCAACTCCCTAAATCTCATAGTAAGCATTCTCCTATAGTTTTCTAGAAACCCAGAGCACAGACAGGCTTTTTCAGTTGTCTCCAACCATAGCACCATGAGTAGTAATGTGAACCCAAGCAGTACCCTTCTCCCGACCCTCTCCTCCCTGCTCCTCCTCTTCCTTTCCCTGCAGTACTGCGGATTAAACCTAGTACCTTTGTACTGTGCCACATCTCCAACTCTGTTTACTTTTGAAAGTCATTTTTATTGGTACATTTTAGATACACATTACAGCAACATTCATTCATTCATCATAGGGAATTTGCACCTATCCATGATACAGTTTGATTATTTTTTCCCCATTTAAACTCCCACATTTTAAACTCTTTCCCTTGAAGCCTTGTGCTGTTTGTTCCTCTTCTCATTCATTCTGTAAGGAAAGATCTGAGAAGAGAGAGGAAGGAGAGATTTACATAATTCTCTGTTGACCTCACTATACTCTTTATTGCTTCACACCCAGAATCCAAGACCTAAAATTTAAAGAAATAAGATAGATTCTCTGTTTTCTTTTCCCTTATTACTGTGATATTTTAAAATATTTCTGAAGGCCATCATAGTGGTGCATGGCTGTGATCCCAGCACTCTGGAGGCTGAGGCAGGAGGATTGCCAAGAGTTCAAGGCCAGCCTGCGTAGCAAGACCCTTCATGCCTCTATCTTGGCACCATTGCTTGTTTCTTGTACTCGAGGTCTCCTCAAATTGGCCTGTTCTCTGCAAAGTCTATTGTGACTTTTTCTCAGTCTCCACTTAAATTTAGTGTTTTCTCATTTCTCCTTTGACTACCTGAAAGAGAAGGTCATGCTACCAGCAGCTTCATGCATCCACAGGTGGGTTCCCTGCGTCTGGAACAGGGCTTGCCCCCAGATGGAAGCTCGGTGGATATTACGTGTGGTAAAGATGACCCCGAGTCTGAAACCAATGCCATATGCTTGCCAATTTGAATACATAAATTTTGAACATAGAGACACCAGTGAAATCTCTATGTAAAGTGTTTAGTTGTTAACTCAGTCATACCCACACTTAACATTATACTTCAGGTAAATATAATTGCAATTTACTGTTTCTACTTTACTTTGGACTACAATTTTATTCCTGCTGTCCATTTCCTTCTGAATATTTTAATTTCATCCCTTCTAAAGCCATGTCATTTTCTCCTTATTTTCTGAGCATGTTATTCTTAGTTCTCTGAAAATTATTTAAATTCTCAACAAATTGTCCTAAAAGATACATGAACAATGAAACATTTCTTCCAGAAGAACCATTACCACTCTGGAATGAAGGGCAAGTCTAACCCTTGGGTCAAGGCCTGCTGTGCAGCAGTTTCACTCAAACTCCACCACAGGTGGCTTGCTCTTGCTTCACCTCAGTCAGGGAGGAGATGTCACAGTGGAGGGGGAGGCATCGACGTCTCTTCTCCCTCTAGTTCCAAGATTAAGGGGCTAAATTCCTGGTGCATAGACCTCATCAAGTGTTCTCACCTGGGACCCAGGTCCATTCACAGAGCACAGGTGCCTGAGACCCCCCACCCTGACCACCTCCAGTCTTGTTTCATTCTCCACTGCAGTTTCCATGCTCACAGAGGCAGGTGGGGAAGCCCAGTAGCTGCCATCCTTGCCCAGGGAAGGAGCACAGCTCAGAGATTTTTCCCAGGGTGGGAGGCAGTCCCACGAAAGAGCAGCACTCAAAGCTCTCCCCTAACGGGCAGGCTTTAACTGAAATGGCATGTGATCAATTTCTACTTAAAGGATTGGAGAAAATGTAGTTTATCGACTAATTTTATGAGAAATGCTAAGTAGAAGATTTTCAGGTAGAAAAGAAGTGACCCTGCATGGTAATGCAAATCTACATGGAAAAACAAAGATCACAATATGGGGAATTGCATACTTATGAAACACAACATGGATGTATCTTTCCTCTTTCTCCTCTTGGCTGATTAAAAACTAATTGCATGTGTATAGTTGTATTGCAGGTATATCACTTATGGCAGTGTACTGTATTTAACAGTGTAGGTGGGAGTAAAGCAGTGTTGGAAGAGATGACACTAGATGTGAGCCTGAACCCACAGGAATATAAACAAAGGACCAGAGATTATCCCTAAGAAAATTTTGTAATTAATTAATTTCATTTCAACTCTCTTGGAAAATTTACAGGGTACTATAAATACTGTGTTTTTTTAAAATTAGTTTTTGTTAGTATGTTTGCAGTACATGATTATTATATTCATTGTGGGAAGTTGGTATATGTACATAACACATCTTAATTCTTTTTTTGTACCTTCTACCTTCCCTCCCCTACCCTGCCTTCCATCCCTTGAACTTCTATTTTGCAGAAGATCTATCCTTTGTTTTTGATTATCTTTTATTTTGCTCTATAATTCATTTATATTTTGGTTTTCTCATATAAGAGAAATCATACAATATTTAAGCATCTGAGCCTGATTTACTTCACTTAACATTATGATTTCAAGATGCATGTGTTTTTCTACAAATGACTCAAGTTAATCCTTTATGGCAGAGTAATACTCTATTATGCATGCCACATTTTCTTTATTCATTCATTCCTTATAGGACATACAGGCTTCTTCTAAGACTTAGCTATTGTAAATTATGCTGCTATACACGTGGGTGTGGATGCAGGATTGCAATGTGATGTCTTTAAATCTTTCAGGAACGCACCTGGAGGGGAAGAATGGATCTCACTGTCTAACTGTGAAGTTAGTTAAAATTTGCTGAGCTTTGCTCTGTGCACACCCCATTCCCAGTTTATGGGAGAGGTTACAATTACTGTAAAAGGTGGCTGTCAGGGAAATGTAAAACAGAGGTTGGCATGATTGCAACCAAACATAACACAGTTAAGAAACAAGCTTCTGATGAATCCTTTTATTTGACTCAAGGTCTGAGATGGTAAGGACCCTCCAGACTAAGAGAAGATATTCACAGCCTGTGTTGGAGAACTGGGCATTTCTCAGCACTCATGAACTATCCTGGCATCCAACCGCCTGAGACAAGTAATAAGCCTTCAGTAAGTATTTGTTGATTGAGTGAATCCATATTGTGGCAGTGAACATGTGGTTTAAGATTGTGCTTTTTTGATGGATTTTTGGAGACACATTATGAAGTTTACTCTGGGAAACATTTGCTGTCCCTCCCCTGCCTCCCAGTGTTCCCTGGACCTTTCCTTCTCCCCTCACAGGGGGGCGGCAGTGACACACGTTAATAGGCAAGCTTTGATTCCTCTTGGCAAAGATCACATGTTTATACAGGCATTTCCACATTACCTCTCACTGGTTGGTTACTTTGAGGCAAGGATGCTGGAGTGCCTGTGTTTCTGTTCTGTTATCTTAAAAATAAAAAAAGAAGTAACATGCTCATGGCATCTACTCTATGCCAGCAGTATGTTCCAAGTGCTATAACAAATTTTTCTTCTTATGTATTTATGATGTGGGTTCATTATTTTCACTTTTCCCCCAGCACAGTGCAAACAGTTAAAAGATGGCCAATGTATCTTTAATAGCTGCTTGTCACCTGGCTGTCCTGAGAGCAGGCTGAAAGAGGTTTCCTGGCAGGGTGAGTGAGCGTGTTACAAGAAACTCAGATTAGATTCCATTATGGGTCTATGTTTTCCAAAGTGAACTGAAATTTTTTACTAATCTATGTCTCCCTTTATATTCCTTAAGTTTGAAATCTGGATAGTCTTCCAGTAAATGAGAAATCTCAGGCCTTCTCCACTTTTATTCCTGAATATATAGTTTTTGGTGCTGATTCAGGATGGCTTGAGTTTGGATGGAAAGTGAAAGCAGTGAGCTTTTCATGTTTTGGAAGTCAATGGGGTGTTACAGAAACAGATCCTTTCCTAGCACAGTGAGCTGGCAGAAAGCTTGTTGGTTCTGTTTGTGCTTTAGGTTGCAAAACATTTTCTAGAGATTTTTATCAGGAAGCTGCATTTCCTATCTTTCCCTTTGATTTAGATCATAGTGAATGGAATCTTTGTGTCATTCCATCAGATAGTCTCAGATCAAATTAATTCACTACTCAGTGTATATGTTTTGTGGTTTCAAAGACTGTCACAAATATTAGCAGCCCAGTGAAATCCCTGTGTGGATTCTATTATTTCTCTTCCTCTTTCTCTTCCTCTTCCTCTTTGTCTTTGTCTTTGTCTTTTTCTTTCTCTTTCTCTTCCTCTTTCTCTTTCTTTCTCTTCTCTTTCTTTTCCCTTCCCCAGCCCTCCTCTCCCCTTCATTCTATTCCCCTCCCCTTCTCTCCTCTTCTTTCCTTATGGTGTACTGGGCATTAGCCCTGTAGCCTCAGCATGGAGCTACACCTCCAGCCTCCACCCACCCCAGCTTTATTTTTTATTCTAATGCAGGGTTTCACTAAATTGCCAGGTCATTCCTGAAACTTGCAAGTCTTCCCAGAGTGCTGGTATTAAAGGTGTGCACTACCATACCTGCTGTGGAGGTCTTCATAATAATAATAATCTGCTCTTCATGTGAAGAGCTCCACACAGAGGCTCTAGAACCCAAAGCAGCAGAGACTCACTCATCCATCTGGGATCACTGAGTCCCACCTAGAATGGAGGCAAGACCTGCACATGAGAAAGATGACCCATAATGTGTGTGCATGCATGTGCATGCGTGTGTATGTGTGTGTGCATGTGCGCATGTTGGGCAGATGCTGTGCATGCACAGCGCTGTGCCAGTTCTGAGTGTGAGGATCACTGACACAGCCCCATCTCTCAC